GGGGGGGGTGTTTGGCAAATGGTATAGTGATGGGATAGTCGCAGCCTTCAGCCTCTCTCAAGCAAAAATATGGACGTCCAGCTGTTGACGTCATCACATCAAGCCCCGCCAACAAAGGAAGCCACATTTTTTATAGATTTTTTTTAACAAATTAACAAGTAATTTATAATGTTAATAACCACCAGAAGAGTTGATAAATGGTAATCGTCTCGATGATGCACTGAACGAGGAGGGTCATTTTCATCATCCCTTCGCAAGTAAAGACTGTCAATTCTTTCATTTTGTAAGCCGCCATTGCAGCAGTAGGAAGCTCTTGTTTAATTATGGCCGTAATCTCCACAAATTGGCATAATCCCTTTCTAATATTCCCGGTTCTATTTCTTCTTCATGACAAGACAAACACTCGACATCGAACGGAACTCCATTGGAATATCAGTATAAAAGCCGGAATACGATCCCCGCCCCTTTTCGTTTTTTTGTTTTTGAAAAACTTGTTAAAGTGTCTGCCTTTCCTCTCAGGAGAATCTAACGCCATAAAATTCCCCAGTTCCTTTCTTCAGTAATCATTCTTATGTATTTTTAAAATCCCAGGCTTTGCAGTATAAAAACCCATCAATCCGCTTCTGCACACATCAGTTTCTTAGTTCTCTGCTTCATATCACAAAGTTAAGATCCTCTCTCTCTCTTCTGCAATCAATGGGCAACAACTTGCAAAAGAGGAACCGGAGGCAGGAAGATAGGGCTTGCAATAAGATCTTCAAAGCTGTGAGCAGTCCTCTCCGGAACAATCTCCGCACCTCCAAGCGTAGCCAAAGCACAGACACCAGACCCAACCCAGAGGCTATTCGTGTCAAGTTCGCGGAGACATCGGCTCAGACCGCCAAACCCATGTCGGATATGGGGCCTACCGGGAAGAAGAAGAAGAAGACGGTCACTAGAGTTGGGACTGTGAAGACGGATGAAAGGTTCAGCGACTACATAAAGAGAGCGAAGCTTAAGATCAGAGCCATGACGAATCTCGGGGATATTAGGAGCGCCGAAGCGACAGAGGCTGGAACTGGAACTCATACCCCCGTCCCTGTTCATGAAGACAGTGGGAGAGATAAGTTCGGGGAGTACATAAAGAAAGCAAAGATGAAGCTCAGATTCACTTCCAGTATCGGACATGGAAACCCGAATCGCGAATAGTCCAAAAATGAAGGATTGTGCGTGTGTGTTTGATTGGTGGGGGTTTTAACCCTAATAACCCACTTGGGTCGCAGCAATTTCAGGGTACACCACCGAAAAAAAAAAAAAATTTACGACCTTATTACGACTAATATATAACTAATATACCACTAAAATAAGAGTAGTTTATTAGTCGTAATAAGTTGTATATTAGTTATATATTAGTCGTAATAAGGTCGCAAATTTTTTTTTTTTTTCGGTGGTGTACATTGAAATTGTTGCGACCTAAGTGAGTTATTTGAGTAATATTCCCGATTGGTGGCTTATGGCTTGTTGTTGGTTGAATAACAATGCACCTGATCATGTGTGACAAATGTATTAATTAGTGTTAATAAAAGAGTGTAAAGCAGATTGTTTCGGTATCTGGAAGTAGATACCCGTGTGAGGATTTGTGTGGGCTTCTTTTAGAACCAACTATAACATGGGCTTGGTTGGAAACCCATTTAATACGACCCCTAATCTACTTTAAAAAAACTACACACACATGTATCGAATAAAAGAATATAGAAAAGTGAAAAGGCCATAATTAAAAAAAAAAAATGCACAAATGATCCTTCAAGAGAGTCAGCGATAATTAATGATGGGCCGGCCGCCCTCTCTCTCTCTCTCTCTCCGAGTCCCCGAACAGGCACTTTGCTCGCTGAGTTGCCTTTTTCTTACTAATAGAGGGAAGGGGAGTGGGGTGGCTCTTTATTTTGACCTCTTCAACTAATCCCAAATTATTCCCCCCTTAATCATTGTGTTTTCCCCCTTGATTAGGCTGACTATACACATATGGCCAAGTCATGAATGACATGCACGACCTGCAGGTTTGCTGCTGTTATCTCACCTCTACAGAATATTCAGTTTCAACGATAATCATTTTATATTTTGTATATTTATGCACCGTTTTCATTTTATTTTTTAAAAAAAAAAACATGCATTACGCGGCAAAAAGAAAAAGTCAGATTCTTATGTGATTTATAAACTTTTTTTATCTTAAAATCTCTGCTTCATAAACTATGATCCAGCTCAAATAATAGCAATGCGACAAAAATAATGCAGACAGTTTCAACGTGTTAGAAACAATTAGTTAGTTAGCCACATATTTTTTTATTAGTCATAAGATTCGCTAGATTTTCGATCCATTTAATCTTTTTTAGATATAAAATTAGTCTTTGATCAAATAATTAATTGCGTCTCTCTTTTTTACTAACGGAATCGAACCTACAACGAAGTGATTTTATCATCTCCCAATAACCAACTCATGGATACCATATAATCTGTTGGACCTATGAACAATTTATACATAACAATCATAATCGTAACTTCAATACAATTTGATTTTTTTCGTAGAAGCCTGTCTGATAAAACATCTCGTTAAAATGATATGAAATTATTACATCAAGTCTAACGAACAAACTAAGTCAGATTTTGACATTGATCGATGTCGTCTTTGATTCTGGTAATAAATAATTAGTTGTGTAGTAAGCAGATTGGACGGCGGAGATTAAACCACGTGACGCCATAGATGAGTCATGAAGCTGCTCTGACCCTTCAAATCGCATCGAAACCTGTATCCCATGACAATAATTTTACTTTGTAACGTCATCTACTCGATTTAGTTTTAATTTTATTATATAATAGCTTGAATTATTCTATGCCGTCCATGTTCTTAGAAAGGCAAGCACCAAAACTACAAAAGAAATGAATGACCTTTCAGCGACAGATAGAACATCATCATACCGTTTTTCTCGTGGATTACGTTTGGCATTCATAAAAAAAAAAATAAGCATATATATATATATATATGTAGCATTTGCCCAAATAAAAAGGGTTTTATATTTTCAGTTTTTTGTTATAAGAATGGTTAATTAAGATAAAAGTATATGGTGAATGTTTAATGAGAATTAAAATCAGTAAATTCCAAACGAAAAAGGAAATAAAATTGGCGTGGTTAGGTGAATCACAAGAAGAAAAAGACAGAGGAAGATGCGAATATTGGAGGGTACACAGATGGAAGATTCTATGATTCACACACAGAAAAGGGTCTGGTGTGGGTGTGACTCATGCCGCTGTCTCCATCATCATCCACCCCCCCATATTTCTCTCCTCTTTTTGCATATATTTTTTTTTGTAAATATACTTTTTACTCCAGTGATTCTAAGTTCTGGTTCGGTAAGATTGGGTAAAAGTTGAATTTGATAAAAATCCATAATACGCAGCGTTGGAGGGGTAAAAACGACGTCGTTATAACCGTATTGTCCTTTTGCGGCAAGTGAGAGGCGCATGGCCCTCGATTCAATGGCTTCCTCTCTCCATGGGCCCCTCTGCCCCATTCAATTATAATCACACTAACATAAATCAAATACTTGTAACGATATAATACTATATACGCCATTTCAATAAAATACATCTAATTTGGTCTCCTTTTTGTTCCTTTATATGGTTGTTGCTGTTGTTACATGTGACGGAGTGCCAATAAATTTCTCCAAATATAAATTCATCTCCCAGCGTACGCCCTCTTAAACCCATAATTCCAATTCACAACCACGAAAACCTCCGACTCCGATCTGCTTCCCCGTTTCCTGGATCCGATTTCATACATTCACGGAAAAGCAAAGCAATCAATTCGCCTCGTTTTGAAATTTATGGCGGAAGGTCCGGCGTCTCCGGTCGACCCAGCGGCGGCGGTTATGCCCAAGGCGTCTCGAGATGCTGAGGCTCCGGTTTTACTGTCGGAATCGGTGGCGAAGGACGTGATGATCGCGTGGTTCCGCGGCGAGTTCGCCGCCGCCAACGCCATCATCGATGCTCTCTGCGGCCACCTCATACAGTCCTTCGGATCGGATTACGACGCCGTTATGGCGGCGATCCACCGACGCAGGCTCAACTGGATCCCGGTACTCCAGATGCAGAAGTACCACTCGATCGCCGAAGTGGCGGCGGAGCTGCAACAAGCGACGGCAAAGAGACTGGACAAACTCAGAGAGGCAGAGGAGAAGCTTTGCTTGGAAGACGACACGGAGAAAGTTCCCGAGAAAGCCATGGAAAGCGAAGAAATCGGCGGCGAGGTAGACGACGATTCTCCTAATAGCGACATTACAGATTCCGGTAAGCAAAGCATTACTCGGCTGGAATAATCTAAATATTTTTTATTATTACATTTAACTCTTTTGTGTATATCTGTGCAAAACTGGGGTGGAGTAATCTCTGTTGTTGGATCTGATGATTTCTAGATTGAAATTTGAGTTCCCCCTATAAAAATAAAAGTCGACCATAAATATTTTATTTGAGCCTTAATTACGATCAATTGATACAAGCGATTCTCCAGATTTCGGGGTTGGGAAAAAAATAAATGGGAATGTTTGGTAGGTGAGAAAAAGTTGGAGAAGAAAAGTACGGGCAAGAGTTGATGGGGAAATCCCCGAATTTCAGTTCCCAAGGATTCAATCAATCTGGAGTTGAATTTTCAAACGCTTAGCAGCAGCCGCAGACATTTTGCTATTAATAAGAAGAAAAAAACAGTACACATAATAATGTTAATAAGATTTCCTAAAAGTTCAGTTATGGTTGTGGAGAATTAAATATTTACAATATATAACATAGATGGAACAAGGAAAAAGACAAAAGGGAAGATGACAAAATTATAAAGAGGTGGTAGCCTACACATAGAGAGGTGTGCTTTGATGCATTCCGTCGTGATCTTACGACGCCTCTATTCTATGGGGTAACATGAAGAATAACCATACCACCTTTAGTTGACCTCGTTCCCTTTTCACTTATACTCTTGACTTTTGTGTTATGGTTTTGACCGACTCGGGTTGGTTGGCCCGCCTGTGTGTGTGTGTGTAGGATCTCGAGAAGAACGTCACAACGTGGAAGAGAATATGACAGTATGTTCGAACGCCGAGGGAGAATGCGAGTCACTACGTGCTTCACCCTTCAAGTTGACAAAGCGTTTTGCGGCCAAGGAACTTGTTAGAGGCCACAGGGTAAGCTCACTGTCACCCCTACAAGTGGGGGGTTTTCCTTTTCTCGGAGAATGAGCCTATAACATATGAGACTTTTGATAGTCCAGTGTAAAAAAAAATTGATGTTGCGGTATATGTATACACACACAATTATCCTCTTTTCTCTAACTGGAAAACGTAGCTGAAAACGAATACTATGCAGGGTTATACATGTTTTGAAATGGAATGGCCTTGCGATGGATGGATCCATCAAGGAGTTATTCAGAGCGGATGGTTCACTAATTGTTAGTAAATAGACTATTCCGTGGCTTTGCAGGTGAATGTCGTCAAAGGGTTAAAATTGTACGAAGATGTATTCAGTAGCACTGAACTCTCTAAACTATTGGATTTTGTGAATGAACTCCGAGAGGCTGGACGGAATCACGCACTGCCAGGTAAATCCCTTGCCTTAAATAACCTCCTCCATCTTGAACTGCTTTCCTTTCTACCTCACGCGAAGAGAAACATTTGTTGCAGGGGAGACATTTGTATTGTTCAACAAGAACACAAAGGGAAACAAAAGAGAGCTTATTCAGCTGGGAGTTCCGATTTTCGGACATGCAAAGGATGAGCACTCAGGTAACGCGTAGTTGATAGGTGTCGCCTCTTTGCATCAGTTTTCAAACACAAAACTGCCTCAACTGGCTACAGTTATCCAAATGCTGTGTCTGATTTACAATGTAAAAAAGCCCAGTTCTCAGTCATATCTGCACCATATTCGATACATTGGGCTGCTTTTATTTAAAAGTGTTTGATTGAGTTTGCAGTTAGCATAGAACCGATCCCTGCTCTTCTTCAAAGTATGATTGATCATCTTGTGGAATGGCGAGTTATTTCAGAATACAAACGTCCCAATGGCTGCGTGATCAACTTCTTTGACGAGGTACCTGTCTCTTCTCTTCCTTTCAATTGATATCTCATATGCTGGCTTTGTCAAGATTTACGGCTTGAAATACTGAAACGGTATTCACTGCAGGACGAGCACTCGCAGCCATTCCAAAAACCACCTCACGTGGATCAACCCATCTCCACTCTGGTCTTGTCCGAATCAACCATGGTGTTTGGGCACAGACTAGGTGTTGATAATGACGGTAACTTCAGAGGGCCACTGACATTGCCACTAAAAGAAGGGTAAGCACAAATACAATGTAGAAGAGGCCTTCTCTCCGGACAAGTGGCTGACCGATTTTTTATGCGGGAACTGGCAGGTCGCTGCTGGTAATGAGGGGAAACAGCGCGGAGATGGCGAGGCACGTCACCTGTCCATCACCCAACAAAAGAGTCTCCATCACTTTCTTCAAGCTCAAACCCGATTCCAACAATCTCCAACAGCCGCAGTCTCCGACGACCAACCATGATCTCGGCCTGGTAACACTCTGGCAACCAGGCACCCCAGCTCTTCCTCATCCGACGCCCAAACACTGCCCTGTGGTCAGACTGGCGCCAACAAAAGAGTCTCCATCACTTTCTTCAAGCTCAAACCCGATTCCAACAATCTCCAACAGCCGCAGTCTCCGACGACCAACCATGATCTCGGCCTGGTAACACTCTGGCAACCAGGCACCCCAGCTCTTCCTCATCCGACGCCCAACCACTGCCCTGTGGTCATACTGGCTCGGGCCCCCCCCGCCACGTTGAGCCCCAGGGGAGGAGTCGGAACTGGAACGGGAGTTTTCTTGCCGTGGACGGCACCTCCAAGAAAACCAGGGAAGCATCTCCCGCCGCGTGCACAGAGGCTGCGTCTTCTCAGTAACTGAGCGGGACCAGAGCAGAGCAAGATACTTTTGGTGTTTTTGGCTTTAGATTGGGTTTCCGTCGTGGTATACGTGTCTCTCCTTTGCCTTTTGTTTTTGTTTTATATATGATTTTTCTTCGATTGATATCTCTGAGATTAAAGATAGGGTAAACAGAGCACGCACATGTTCTTCTTCAATACAGAGGATCGCTGTGGATTGAGTTTTTGCTGTCTTTGGGGTATTCTAACCTCAGATACCAATGTATTGTATGGAGATTCTTCTGGGGGGAGAATCTGGGTTGCCTTCCAACTCCCAAAAGATGGAAAACTCACCAACGCCTACATTACAAAACGTGATTCAATTCATGCCCATAAATAAATAAATAAATAAAAGAAAGACACGGCAAAGATAACGCTAACAAATTTCCCGACTCTAGGAACCAGTCTGCAACATGCTTTCCTCGAGAAGGTCAGCACGCTACTCCAAGTTCAAATCTTTGTCCTGTCGTTCAAAGCCTCTAACCAAAGGCATAATAAAGCATTCTTCTTCACCCTTACCCTCCTCTTAATGGGAGGCAAAGGCCTCTTCTTCAAAGAAAACAAGTGTTGTTCTTTCTTACCTCTCAGCGTAATAATGTACTTGCCACTTGTCTTTTTAGACAAAGCCACCTCAATGTTAGTTTGGCTAAAAATCCATGTACCTGACATGATGATATGTTGTTTCGTACTCACACATGGAGCTACTGAAGAATAGAGAATCGTATGCTTTTTACCATCGTGAAATTCCTCTCTGCCCCATCATGAGATCCAACAGATTCCTACTCCTTTCCATCTACTTTTTTTTTTACTAACAAGTTTGTACTGTCTCAGATGTAGATTCATGATACCCATAGATGCTGAGAGAATGAAACCAAGAATCATAAACATCTACTTGAAGAACGGTGAATGTTCTCTTCAAAGCATTCATCCTACCATTTATAAACAGCCGAAACACCCCACAAATGAGCTTTAAAGCTTCATAAGTCGCACATGCTTCACCGTTCATTGAGTATCCATCCACCAAACAAAGCTACATCCCCGAAATAGGAAACACAGTACCAAAAAAAACCCACAAGTGTAGCTTGGGAAGGGTGGTACTCCTTCCATGGATCACCGCTGATGGGATATGACACTTGTTGAATCATTATCCTTCGATTGCTTGGAACCCTTCTCCGCAGGAGTGCCTGCCTTAATCCCAGGAGGAACCGTATCTTCCATTACCTTCGGGACTGTGAAATTGAAGTCTCCAAGGGGTGCGTCCTTGTATTCTGGGTTGGCCTCAAGAAATGCTGCAATTTCATTACGAGTCCTCAGCTTTTTCCCCGTCAGAGTTATGTAGTAGGCATCCATCTTGGAGTAATCTTTCCTAAGGACTAAACTCCTCCTGAAACCTTTAGGAGTTTTTGGTAAGCCAGGCTTGTCGATGACCCATGTCCGGGAGGAATCATAGTCGAGGTCTGCTGGGTCTTGACAGGATACACCCTTTTTCTTCTCACAGGAAAACGGGTCTTCTGGGATTCTACTTCTGATCTCCTCGTACTCTTCCTGGGTATCAATCTCTCTCCACTTGAGGCACTTTTCACATTGTGCAGCATATGTATCGATCGATCTCCCCAGAGCAGAGGCTTTTCGCTGCATAATATGAATATGGAATGGAATCCGTTATTTAGATAAGCTGCTTCTATTAGTCAAAACACACACATTCTATACATACAAAAAGTGTATATCGCATATGAGAGCTCTGAAAGTATATCGAGTCGCCCATCCCCAGCAAAACTTTAGGTTAACCACATGAGCCTTTTCTGTACTTGGAGTGAGAAAACATGCCTATGTAGAACAAGCTTTACCCAAATGAGAACAGAATGCAAACAAGCCAGGCTTAAAGAGAACCCAAACAAGGAGACAACAATGCAAGCAGATCAAACAGACAGTAAGAGCCAGCCCAAATGAGAATCAAAGAAACAGACTGACATGGGAAGAAAAACAAAAATCAAAGGCAGGGAAACTGTTGTCATATAATGAACAGCAAGAATATCATTACACGACCAGATATTTTGTAGCATTAACTTTCAGTATTGGAGAGAAAACCAACACACAACCTGTTTATCTAAATAGGAACAATGACCAAAAGAGTACAGCTTAAAATTTGCTAAAGTCGACCATAAAGAAAGACTGCAGAAATACTTCTAAATGTACAATTAAAGGACTAAGAAGAGGGAAAAACATCAGTATGCGCTGAAACAAGAACCAAATAAAGGACAATAAAGGTACGAAACAAATGTCAAAGAAGAAAATACGGCGCTATCTGCTGAAAAGGAAGAAAATCATTCCATGGCAGATCAATTTCTGAAATATTAGATCAAAGGGTCGGATGGAAGCATGCCATCATTTATTACAACAGTTTGCGACACTTACATAAGAAGATATGACGCATTCTTCCCTAGCAAAGATGAATGCCTTGTTTAATAGTACGACATATAACCATAACCATTCTGAACAGACCTCTTCCATAGTTCACAATCACAAGAATCCGGTTTCAGTACCAGTTTGTCTAATTAGTCCAATGTCTAGGCTACTGATCATACGGAAAAGGGGGCCATATTGACACAAACCCAAGCATTCAAAGCAAACCCTCGTTCTGGTTACACGATGAATTCGTATTTCCGCTAAAGATTCGTACTACAGTGACAGATAAATAAATTAACGACGCCTAAGCCCATTTCAAGTACCCCCAATGATAAAAAACGACAACAAACAAAGAAAAACCTAGAATCCAATCGAGTTGTCGACTCCTTTGCTTCCCCCACCATGCTATTAACTACAATAAAAGATCTAAGCACATCCGAATCTAGATCGAACTAATGCAAGCATGAAGATTTACATCATCTGAAGCATGGTATACAGTGTTCGGGTAATGGCGAGAGTAAGAGTCGGGAGATAAAAAAGACCGCCGAACAAAAAACAGAAAATCGCTGCCTTGATAAAGCAGCGAAGAATCAGAAAACATGCAGTGTTTGGTTTATTACCTTGGGGGTTGTTGTCGGTGTTCCTTCAATCTCCTCCTTCATCTCAGTTCCCAAGGGAGAGAAGCTCTTCCAGTTCCGGCAAAACTATTTTTTCTTCTGTTTTTAATGCGTTTAAGGAAAAAAAAACCCTCAAGATATTGGAAATTCTCGGCTGGTCTTTGTGATAACGTCACTGGCCGTGCGTTTGTAATCTTGTGACAGGCAAGTATTTCACTGACACGTCATCAAATAGGGTCCTTGTGTTGTGGACTTTGGGGCTTTCCCATGCGTTGCACGTGTTTCCACGCCCGGGCCCAACCTTTTATTACGCATATTAATATGGGCCGAACACTAGTCGTGGATGTATTGAATAGCCGTGGAACCCAGGCCCATTTTTATATTTATAGCGCTGAAGATCAAAATGATAATTTATAATAAATAAGGAAATTATAATAAAATTAGGAATGAAACACGTATAATCAAGGAATAGAAACGGAAAAAAAGTAAAATAACTAAAATGGATTATGGAAACTTTAGAAAAGGAAAACGAAAATATGGAATAGTAGTGATTAATAAATCGTTTTTGTGAAATAATAATATTAATAATGCACTCAATTTATATTACTAGGTAAAATTAATAATTACTTCGAGTCGTAGTGAAGAGAATCTACTCATCGCGTGAGGCAAAACGATCATAAAAAGGAAACAGACGAGGAGAAAGTGCTGCCGTTTTTTGTTTCGGTGGGTGACGGGGGAGGAATGAAAACGACACGCAACTTGGCATCTTTAGTGTTAAAATCCGCTCCAGCTCAGAAATCGGACCTAAAACGTCCTTCCGTTTCTAAACAAATACTAAACCTTCACCTAACGCGCAAGCGCGTTTCGTATCGCTCTTTATTTATTTCCCAATTACCAACTAACCGGACCCCAATTCTTCTTCTTTCACACTTTCGCTAATTAATACTATTCTTAAACCTCTTTAGTCTTTTAGTAATTATTTATTAAGCATGAAAAATCATTATCAAAATAGCACGAAAATTTGCCTTGTTTGATATTAACGTAAGTAAATCTCTGAAATTAGTTTGGGTCTCGGTTCAGGATATCCGGTTACCTAAAAAAAAAAATCCCATTACTCGGACCATATATTTCTTTTTTCTGAATATTTCAAATTCCATAAAAACAATGCATGCCCGATTTTTAGATATTGGGCATTTTTAATAAAACCATCAATCCACACAAAAGCAAGCCTATTTTCCTTTTGATATTTTATTTCAGGAGCAGTTGGACCCTTTTGTATGAAATATTTGGCAGATTCTTAACATCGAGACTCAAATCGAAATTAAATGGTTTTCTTTATTCATTAACATCCACATTAGGAACTCAATCTTCCGTGCGCCACGTGGCACGGACCCATTTCGAGTACCTAAACCCAGACCCCCTCCGAATCATCCAGAATTATATAATTAACCCCTACTTGTTAGGTTATTTTCTCCTTTTTTATATAAAAAATTCTAAAAAATGAAGTCCATCGGATTTGTACTTTGTAACAAGATTCAGAAGGCATCAATAATTACAACAAATCGGCTTTATAATCGTTAATGCCCATTTGACCCACGCCAAAGTCCAAGAAACTCTTCATGCAATCGGCCAAGACATGCCTCATTTCTCAAGCATGCTCAACCTAATCTCCCTCCTCCGCCGCCGCCTCCGTCGCCCTTCCAAACCCCGCATCACCGTCAGCCGCCGCAACCCTGACTCCGCCGCGACCTCCCCGGCTGCATCTCCACCGCACTACGGCAACGGCTCCTCCGCCGCGGCGGTTCACCCCAAACCCCACAGACCCATCCGCCTCGCCACCTTCAACGCCGCCTTGTTCTCCATGGCCCCCGCCGTCCGCACTCCGACCCGAGACCCCGAAGACGCTGAATTTACGGGCTTGCCACTCCGGTCAAAGTCAACTCTTGACCGCCCCAAGAGCATACTCAAGCAGTCTCCTCTTCATCCCACGAGCGATCATAATCTCTCGGCGAGGAGAGAGAGATTCGCCAGATCGAGGCTGAGGGTGTCGATCAATCTGCCGGACAACGAGATCAGCCGGCAGCTGAGTTTCCGGGGAGACGACCGAGACGCCGCCGGGAGAACGATGAATTCGCAGGTACGGTCGACGGTGTCTTTCTCCGGCGAGAGAGAGGGGAGCAGCAGGAGAACGGTCCTGGAAGTGCTGAGGGAGGTGGAAGCGGACGTGTTGGCACTGCAGGACGTGAAGGCGGACGAGGCCGACGAAATGCGGCCGCTGTCGGATCTGGCGGCGGCGCTCGGCATGGAACATCGACATTTACTTGGAA